ATATATATATATATATATATATATTCATCGGGAATAGAAGAGAGAAAGGGGGGGGGGGGGGGGGGGGGGGGGGGGGGGGAAGACATTCGAGTTGCTTAAATATCCCGAAACCCAAAATTATTGCAGTTAAACGGATAGTCTATGTCATAGGAGAAAGATAAAAAGAAAAGAGGGATGAGAAACATGTACCATCAGTAGGGGTGAACGGTGGTGAACAGAGGCAGGTGGTGTTATGGTGATGATTAATGAAAGAGAAAAGAAGAAGAAGAAATTAGTTATATCGGATGAGAGGAAGGGTTATAATTAGGGGCATTTACCTTAAGGTGGAACTCCGGTGATGGTGGTGAATAGGGAGGGAAAAGGCGGTAGCTAAGATCCTCACCATTCTGAAATGGAGAAAAGAGGAATGATTTGGGATATTAATTGCGGACACCATTAGTGGTGGTGCACAAGCATTAGCGGTGTCTCCTGAATTAATTAAGGGGAAACATTATTAACTTTCTCAACACCAACTTTACATTCATTGATGTCAGTTCATGCAACCAAAAAGACAATTGACAATACCGATGAGGAAAAAATTGCAACACAAACTTTACATTCGCTAATGGCAGTGTCGATTTTATTGAATACTTGATCACCAAGTTTCATATTATTGTTGTCCAAGAACAGTTGCAATTTAAGCTCATGAGATGATTCTAAAATTTTTTTCTAACGAACTTCTTGGTGTTGACCCCACTGTGGTTAATGAGAAATTCACACAGTTCTTGCTTCGGGGTGACTATGGTGGCAGTCATTCATAGAAAGTGGTATATATTGGTGACCCGATCTCCATTTTCAACACCAAGCTAGTGCTAATCAACAAATGGTTACTTTCATTAAATTATTATGGGATATATGAATCTATACCTGGTTCTAAATAAACAAAAATTTTAGTTAAATTTTATATGTGCTTAGTTGTGACAGTTTGATAAAGGGGCTAACATTGCACTTGAGAGTATATGAGAAATGCATCTCAAAATTAAGTCGTTTATCAAGGTGTATTAACCATTGCACTTGAAGTTGCATACACATTTGAGCTTTGAAGTATTTTCAATAATTATCGATTTTCACCTCTTTTATTGCTTAATGGTTCCTAGTTGAGTGGAAGGTAGTAGTAGTGTGATAAACTGTTATTATTGGTTTTTCACACAATCATTACTTAGAATATATCTATTCAAATTTAAGCATCCTAATATGCAACACTTGAAAATATGGTGTTGCATCATATATGTTAACTCAATACTTATTAAAAAAACTGCTATTTTGGCTCATTTTGTAGTAGTGTATTGTAAAACCCCATTTTCACCTTTCAGTAAGATTTCATATATACCATTTGTTTCTAAAATTCGAAGTACAAAGTTTCACGTTTAGCCCTATACGACAAAGCATGTCGTAAAACGTAAACTGGAGATATGTTACCTATTAGTTTAAATAATCTAAATGAAATTTGTACTAATCGTAAAAGCGAGAACGTGCATATAAAGAACGTCAAAATATGACTTCATATGAAGAAGTTACTATGTTTCGAAGTTTTCGACATAGCAGTGTGCATACAGAAATCAAAATTCAAATTGGTTGATTGTTAGCTTTGACAATCTAAACGGGAGTTGAATATCTCCTGAATCTGAACCCGTCAAGATAAAGACGGTTGAGAACGAATGTAATATTGAAGAGTTATGGTTTTTGTATGAGTTTAATAGTCTAATCCTTTTATAAATATAACCATAAAAATAAACTTAAAATTAGCCGATAGGGTCTAAATGAAAGTTATATTACTCATCGATACCTATAACACCCGTAGATTACGGCTAGTCAATTTAGAGACGATAGCGTTAAAAATGAATTTTTGATGAAATATTATTTAGAATGAATAATCTTAACTAAGTTATAGTGTATGCTACAAGGATTCCGTACATCTAAAAAAACGCCGAAATCCGAGTTATAACGAAGAAGTTATGACTTGTCGAAGTTTCGCGACAGAACTGGCACGACGCTGAATGACGTAAAAAGTGAATTTACGTTAGAGTGATATTTAGCCTTAGCGATCTAAACAAAAGTCGTAGAGTTCGTTAAACGATGAGCGTGCATAAAAAGAACGTCCGAATCTGACTTCGTATGAGAAAGTTATGATTTTTCTAAGTTTCGAGTTAGCAGTAGGCAGCCCGAATACTCGATTTGAGACCGAGCGGTTTTTAGCTGAAACAATCTAAATAAGAATTGAAGATCTTGTTGATAGTAGTGCAACGGTAAAAAGACAGACGAAAACGGACGTCGGATGAAGAAGTTATGAATTTATAACGGAGTTTTCCTGTCCCGGCCTACTAAAATAATATAATAAAAATAAAGTCAAAATTAGCTGACGGAGTCCAAACAAAAGTTGTAGAGCGTAGTCTCACCTACGTGTGGATATAAAGAACGTAGAAAATGAAGTTTGTATGAGGAAGATATGAATTTTTGAAATTTACTAAATAATTAAAATATATAATTTAATTATAAATTTTGATATTATCTGAAGGGGGGGGGGGGGGGGGGGAGTCAGCGGTCTTATCCAAACTATGCCCAACGTAATTCGAAGAATCAACCCTATATAAAGGGCACGAGGGCAGCCGAGTTCCTTGCTCAATTCCTCTCTTCTCTCTCCCGTTTTACCTCGTTTTTCGTACAAGAAATATCCCGAAGCCCCGATATCATTCTCGAGACCCGAAGCAAGTCCCGAAGCCCTGAAGATCCCAAGAAGTAAAGTTTTCGAGTCGAAGCACTGCCCGCGTGAAGCCCGATTTTGGATGAAACATCCCGGTTTCGTCAGAAAAGATTATTTCAAGAGACGAGGCGCTGTCTGATCATCTTCTAATCATGTGAGTGTATAGTCCCTTTCATAACAGGATTTTAATACAAGTATTGTTTGAATGTATTAAGTATATGTTTTGTGTGAGTGTGTGGTTACTTTCTTCTAACACATAAGTATGAAGTATTTTCTATGAAATACGTGCTATGTGTTTATATATTGTGGTTTATTTGAGATGTTGGTGGAATGGATGAACTATATAGATTTTAATAAGTTAAACTGTATATGTATTTTGTAACTACAAATATGTTGGGTAGGACATGGGTAGATGAGAACCATGAGTATGGATCAGATCAAGAGGTTAGTTAGATCCATGAGTAGGGATCAGATCAAGAGGTTAGTTTTAGATTTGCGAGTATGGATTAGACCAAGAGGTTAGTTTTAGATCCGGGAGTATGGATCAGGTAAAGATATAAAACTTGTTATTAGTATGGGAGTATGGATTAAGACTATGTTAATTGTCCCTAGTCTGGGAGTATGGATCGGACACAGTTATTGATCCAGGAGTATGGATCAGATCAGGATTAAGGTATAGTTAATTGTCCCTATTACGGGAGTATGGATTGGGTACAATTATTGATTCGGGAGTATGGATCAGATCAGGAGGTTAGTTTTAGATCCGTGAGTATGGATCAGGTAGTTTTAGATCCGTGAGTATGGATCAGGTGAAAAGGTTAGTTTTAGATCCATGAGTATGGATCGGGTGAAAAGGTTAGTTTTAGATTCGTGAGTAGGGATCAGGTAAAGAGGAAAATTTTAGATACGAGAGTTTAGATCGTGTCGCTATGAGGATCGATGGGGTGGGATAAGAGTTGCCTTTACATGGTGAAATTGTACAAGTTTGGATGTTCTATATTTATAAATATATGATATAACATTGTGGGATGAAAACCCAATATGATCACCAGGCTCCCAAGCCTGACCCACTCGGTTTTCTTTGTATCACAGGTATCGATACGAAGACCTATTTCACAGAGAGATTTAAAAGAGATATAAATCATTAGTGTAATTGAATGTAAGTTCAGTTTATACTTATATGTTTGTATCGGAACATGACATCCAAGGTTTTATTATTAAATGAAAATACATTCTCTTTGAGAAATGTTTTGATAAGTTATTATCATATCTTGTTTTGGGAACAAATTCCGCATCCGTTTTCTTTATAAGATTACTCTGATTCTAAAAACAAAGCATAAACAAATCAGTCTTTTCTGGCCGTAAAATTGGGGATGTTATAATACTTACGGTGGATATAAAGAACGTTTAAAACATAGCTCGTATGAGAAAGATACGAATTTTAGAAAAACAACAATTCGTGCGCGCGGAGAGCATGGGCACAACGCGCCTACCTTCTTGAAGGACGAGTGGACCACCAGAATTTGACACATGGAAGTGAGGCAACAGACAACCATCATCACAGGCATGATGCGTCTATGGACAGAGGCATGACGCGCCTCCCTGACAGCTATAAATATGTTACCGATGTCCATTCATTTCACATAACTTTCAATCTCCTTCTCTCTCAAATGTTTCCCTCATTTTTGATCCGGCTTTTTCCTAGACTTTAAAAGTATTTAGCGGGGCTCTGAGTCGCTGGAGAGTCCAATGAAGAGAAACTTTCAGGTCAGAGTTCTACCCTCATAATATCTCGATTTTTGCTAGAAACTCTATAAGTTAAGTTATGTTTATTAGGATTTTAGGGTAACTTATATTTATGTTTATAGTTGTTATTATGAACCTATAAGTACCAGCTTAGTCAGTCATTCTAGTTAAATATTCTGATTGATCTACTTACAAGCAAGGTTGTAGAAAGCGTTATGCATTAGCTAGTCGGTGGACTAGGGATTAGGGATTTATCGGCTAGACAGGCATTAATTGGGGACCATTAATTATTAAGAAAAATATTCAAAATTTTATAAATCTAACTTTAATCCTAAGAATATAGGTAAATAGGCATAAAAGTTTAATAATAACTAAATAAGTTTAACAAACACTACAAATTATCCCCCAAAATAAGTATAAAAGCTTAATAATAAGTTTTAACAAACACACACAATCATCATCCAACAAGTCCACCATAAGTTTAAATAGCTCAAAACTAAATGCATATTTTCTTCTAATCTTCTCCGCATACTTCCATTATCTGAACACCATCCGACTCGTATTCTTCTTCTTCCAACACTTGCTCCTCACTCTCACTCTCGGACTCAAAATCATCATCTAATAGTTCCTTCGTTCTTGGAATTTCTCGGGGTGCTTGACTAACATCGGTTGCTAGAGCTTCATCACCTGTTTTAGGATCTACTTCATCTACATCACACTCATCACAAACAACAATCCATTCTTGAGCCGAGAGGGAATTATTTGCTAATAGCACTTCCTTGTTTCTATGTTTTCTCTTTTTGTTTTTTTTGCCCATTAAAATTGCATTGAATTGAACATAAACAAGATTGTTCAATATACTTGTCTCCAATCTATTTCGTTTCTTTGTATGTACCTATCAATTTAAACACAACAAAGAGTTTAAACGTGCTTAGTATTATAATTTTATAAAATTTAAATTTAATGCTTAATATTACTAACCCCTTCAAACGTGCTCCAATTCCTTTCACAACCTAATGAACTACTAGTTAATGAAAGAATCCTCATTGCAACCTTTGTCAAATGAGGAGTTGCCCCACCAACTAGCTATGCTTTTGAAACAAAATCACATTATTAATCAATAAATATCAAAATTTTATAAAATAGATAAGTAGATAAGTAAAAGGAAAATGAATTACCCGGATCAAAGTCGGGATCATTAACCTTACAATGTGTAATCGCAAGATTACAACCAAATCTATCCACTTTTTTCTTGTACATTGGCAAGTCAATAGTCACTACTTGCCTTTGCTTCTCTAAATCTACACAAAATAATGTATCAAAAAACTCAAGAACCGCATCCGTTACATCGGGGTCATATTGGAGTTGTGAATCATTATAATGATAATACGGATTCAAAAGATAAGATGCCAAATGTAAAGTTGAATCTAGGCGACCTTTCATCTTTTTGTGTTTATGATATCTATAATAGGCTTGTAATGTTTCTCATTACCACCAAAAGATTTGATAATTTCGTCTTTTGCAATTTTAATCTCCCCGTAAACAAAACCCATTGAGGGTTTCCAATCCGCATCAACCATTCTAAGGACTTTCACCAAAGGGGAGAACACCTTTAAACATTGTATCACACTGGACCAAAATTGGACACTTGTCACTGTTTTATATGAGGCAATCCATTTACGCTTACCGGAAAATTTACATTCCTCCCATTCGTTGCTAGAGAACATATGTCTTAGTTGCTACTTTTTTCGAACAAAATTTGTAATGTGAGAAAGGCGGAAGCAAATCTCGTGACTCCCGGTCGGATAATTTCTCTTTTGTTGGTGTAACTTCTCATCATCGCCAAGGTTTTGTGGTAAGCATAAATGAATATGGTTAGTTTCTTTGCTTGATCTAGGATTTTCTTAAACCTTGGGGGTGCTTCGATACCTTGAAAAAATAAATGCGATCAAATAACAAATTATAGTATACAATTAAATTTTTTTAAAATAAATAAAGTAATAAAAATAAAATAATAAATACATTAAATAAACAAAATAATGTAAATACCTTCATGCATAAGGTTAATGGTATGTGTCGCACATGATGTCCAAAAAATAGATGGTCTTTTCTCTTTTAGCAACTTCGCCGCCCACATGTTATTCGTGGCATTATCGGTCACAACTTGAACAATATTCTCGGGACCAACTTGTTGAATACAAAATTCCACATACTCATATATGTGTTGGCTTGTATGTGCTTCACCGGAACATTCTTTTGAAGATAAAAAACGGTACCCATCTTTGAATTAACACATAAATTCATAATGCTTCTTTTCTTTTGATCGAACCAAGCATCAGTCATAATCGAGCATCCATCCTCTTTCCGTTCCTTTTTGTTTTTTTTTTCAACAAATTTCTTGTTCTTTCAACCTCATGCTTTAGAAGTGGGCCACTCAAAGCATATCTAGTAGGACATGGAAGCAGGGTTCCAAATTCGCCAATAACCTCCAACATCATTTTGAAGTTATCCCTTTCAAAGGCATGAAAAAGGAATCACACTCTCATATGCCCACCTACAAATGAAATTATGTGTAACATCCAAAATTTACAACCCAAAATTTTTTGTTTTGATATTACTAAAGTTCACATCATCGAATGTCATATATACTAAGAGCCATATCGGACTGATGTCCGGAACTAACCAGGGTCTTGCCCTCTGCATATGACTGAGGTCCGGAAACTGCATCGGACCAAAGTGCGGAACTGACTGGGACCTTGTCCCCTTTATCGGACTAAAGTCCGGAACTAGCAGCATCGGACCGAAGTCTAGAACTGACTGAACATAACATAACATAAACATATCAACTAGCATGAACACATATACTGCATCGGACCGAAGTCCGGAACACATAATACAATGACATGATTGAATCACAAAGACATCAAGCACACTGAACTACTGCATCGGACCAAAGTCTGGAACTACTGCTAACTAGACGGGCTGACATTGTGGCCGTAGACCCGTTCCTGCTGGAAGGAAACTCACCTCGTAACGCTGGCTACTGAGATACTGACTCTAAAACTTGCTGACTGCTGCTCCAGAGCTCCCCGACTACAAATCCCAAAAACACTAAATCAGGTACTGATAAATGCCCTCATGGTAAAATAACTATTTTACCCCTGGTCAAAGTCAACTTCCAGTTGACCGGTATCGCCGAGTCGGGGAATAGACTCGCCGAGTCCCTCCCTCACTAGATCTGAATTCTAACTGACTGTGTCTATTCCCACTCACTGATTCACCCTAAACTCTCAAATCTGGGAAATACAAGGACTCGCGACTCGACTCGTCGAGTTTGAAGAACAACTCGCCGAGTCCTAAGCATATCATTACTATACAGTCGATTTTGCTTGATTCCAGTGCATCCAATACATATATCTGGTCCTAGGATTAATTTCACACGTAAAGTTTCTAACTTTACGTTCATGCAAGCACACAAGAAGCTAAAATGCCCAATAAGAAGCTAAAAGTGGAGATCTAGGTTTGGAATGGGTGTTTAGCTCAATAATGTTGGCAACCTTGAGCTCAAGGAGTCCAGAAATGCTTAGATCTGAAATCCATTCATATTAACTTCCCATAATACAACCTCAATGTCTAGAAAATGGCAAAAGAAGCAACACTAGCATGCTTTTAAGAAGATCTATATGATGACAAGCCAAAATTCGAGCTTTATACCTTAATGGAGGCTGGAATGACACAAGAAACTCATATCTCCTTTGCTCCTCTTGAGAACCTCTCTTCTCTCTTCTTCTTCTAACTTCAAAATGCACAAAAAATCCTTCACAAGATGAGAAATACTCCAAAAAGCTTAAAGGGAGGCTAGGGTTTGGTAAGGGATGCTCTAAGGGTGATGGAAACTGGTTTGGGGCGCATAAATGTGTTTAAACAGGGTGCAAACCTTTGAAATTAGGGCTTCATCCAGACAGGCAGACTCGCCGAGTCCCAACATATGGACTCGTCGAGTAGCCAACTTAAATCGCGTGATCATCCCGTCTCTACTCAACGAGTCGGGCTACAGACTCGTCGAGTACCCCTTAAGAAGTGAAAATACTTTATTTAAATTACATACCAGAAATGGGGCGTTACATTATGGGCTTTAATATTCTTTCTTTTTGGAAAACATTGTTAAGATCAACATCTTTTCCCTTTCCCTCCTTCAAACCTTCTCGTGGGTTTATTATATTTGCATAGTTATCCATGGGGCCTATAACATTGGGTGCCTTTGATCCCAAAGAATTTTCTGCTTCATGAAATTCTTGTCTCGCCTCCACCCTTAAGCCTTCAATATGCACTTGTTTATTTTTTTTTTATTTTTTTTTATTTTTTAATTTGCCTTCATTAAGAGAATTTTTACATTTCAATTGATCGTCTTTTGTAGACTTTGGACATGAGAATACATTACCCGTCACATGAGCAATATGTTGTTTCATTCTAGAAATACCCCGGCTACTTGTTTTTCCACACAAGAAACATTGCAATCTCCCCATGTTGCTTTTATCCGGGATAAAACCATATTCCTAAACAACATCATCTGAATTACGTTTATGTGCACCAGTGGTGGTGGGGGTTGATCCAACAGATGGTGTAGTGGAAGCATTAGATGTCATTAATCGTCACGTACTATCAAAACTGTCACATTAACACAATAAAAAGTTAAAAACAAATTAACAACTTAACAGTTTAACAGAAAAAATCCAGCTTAACAACTTAACAACAAAATAGTGAACAACTTAGTAAACAACTTAATAGCTTAACAACATGACAGGATAATAGCTTAACAACTTAACAACTTCACAACAAAAATATTGTTTAATAGCTTAACAGCTTGACAGATTAATAGCTTAACAACTTAACAACTTCACAACAAAAATATAGCTTAATAGCTTTATAGCTTGACAGGTTAATAGCTTAACAACTTAACAACTTCACAACAAAAATACAACTTAATAGCTTACAGGTAAACAACTTGATAGTTAATAATTAATAGTAACAGATTAATTGGAAACAAATTAGGCTTAACAGGTAAACAACTTAGGCTTAAGAGTTTTACTGTTAATGTCCTAATTACATAAAATTTGATATGAAGTTGAACCAAAAAACTTCTATTTGTATGATTATTGTTATAAAGGTGAACATACTTATCAAGCAAGCAATAATCGACACTGGAGAAAAAGAGAGCAACACATACTTCGATCCAACAATGTACATCTATGACAAGAATTAAGCTTTAATTTTCTGAACAATTAATAAACACTTCTAACCCATGTTTACAACTTAAGTGAAAAGAAATGACTGAAATAAAGGAGGAGAATCCAAACAAGACTTGCCGACTTGGTAAATTGGTAAAATCAATTACACATACAAGAATTAAATATATGAAGAGAATATAGGGAATCGACTTTATCTAACAAATTAATAAGTAGTAACATTCTTTGGGTTCTTCACAAGTACAAAAAAAGTCAAAAGAAACTTACTTGAGTCGGATTTGGAAGTATGAGATGTTCGACCCACTAACTCAGGCGAGATTGAAGTATGAGATGCTCGATAAAAAACAACTGTCATTGGAGGGATTTTGTAGAAGCATATGGCGTCGGAGGTGAGCTTGGAAGTGGACAATGTCGACAATGCAGTGAACGAGGAGGCGTCGAGGTGAGTACGAAGTCGGTGTTTCAAAATATCCAAAGAGAAAACACTGTGAATTGAGTACGATGGAATGTGGGAGTGGGAACGAACCCTAGAAAAATTATTTTAGATTGCCATTGTTGCCCTAAATTTTTTGAATTTTCTTTGACCGGTTTTGACCCATTAACTCCGACTAGCGCCGATTAGCTTCGATTAGGATCGCATTTGACCGAATTTGACCAACCCCGATTTAAGTAACCGATTAGCAATAAACCTCATCGGTCGAGGTCCGATTAGGGTATAGGTGCTAATTAATCAGCCGATTTAACCGATTTCTGCAACACTGCTTATAGGAGAGGTGTCTAGAATGGGCACGTTAGCTTGGTTGTTGGATTTCAGAAAAGCTATATGCTGAAATGATCCTGTCGCCCAACTATCATGCCTGGTTGATCCTTATTTGATACATATGAAAGTATATTTTCAATTTAGTGAAATATCTATCTTTCCAAATTGACATAGAAATTAATAAGTTACAGTATTATAGGTTAATACTTGATAGAAGTGTTACCGACCAATTGGATCATCCAAAGGATTATTGATAGTCATCTGAGTAATTGTCCAGATGAGATATCTCAATATACCATATATTACAATATATATCCATATATATTAGCTAGGATATAAGAGCTATTAGTATAGTCTCTATATGGTTAATGCTAGTGTACTTGTAGTTAGTAGAAGTATAGTTTCCATGTGCCTATACTAGTAGAACCAAAGTATAA